CCCAAGGTCATGTGTGTGTGTGTGTGTCGTGTTGCTAACCGATGAAACGAAACGGCACAGAAGTGAACAAGGCTACGATACTTTTTCTATGTTCGTCTTCTGTTTGCTTCTGTATTTTATTCCCCTTTCCCTAACTCTCTAACTAGGCATACGCTCTCCTCAAACCAGTTTTCGTTTTCTTTCTTTCTGTTAAAAGAAGAAATAAACATTTTTTCATTCAGTAATGGATCATGCGATGCTCAATCATTAGATAAAGTGAATTCAAGAAAATTGACACAACGCAGTTGTGACCAATAGGGGAGATTTGCTTTCATGAATGANTCCTCCTCTTCCCATCTATCGCGCGCGCTTGTTCACACGAACTTAATCGTTATCGTCAATTTTGATTTTACCATTTCGCTGACGGGATACTGACTTTGCTCCACAAAATAATCGTCATTCGGCACAATTCATTCCATATTGTTATCTTCCGTTGGGAGTGATCTGTTTTTGTTTATTTGGCACGCATAAATACCAACTCTCTGTTGACCCAGAAGCAATCACTTGCCTATTGGGATCAACTCCCCCTCCACCGAGTTGTTTTATCAATGCAATAATCTTGAGCCACACCATATCAGCGGTGAACTATGATCGTGGCATTTGTTGCTTCCGTCTCCACTTTTTCTGTCATACATGCTTTCACTCCTGACCACTTTGTTTTTTTTCCCGCTATTACCACTGTCCGGCTGTATGCACACACGATCTCTGTCCATGCTCCCTCAGTTTGTCCAGTCATTCTTGGAGATCGTGTTTTTTTGTTTTTGCTTGTTTTTTTGCCCTTTTCCACTCCAGAATCCCGCCGTGAGGATTTCCTGTCAGGTTATTTTTTTCTGTTCCTGTCTGCATTTGTTTTGGAACGAAAATAAACACAATTAAAAAGAATGACAGACAGAGGGAACAAAGTGAAATAAATTCATCTGTCTGACCATTTTCTTTATTTTCTAATCTGTTGAGGTCTTTGCTTGCATTTTGCCCACCGCAACGTTTTGAATCGAATCGCGATACACCGGATTTAACCGGGAAGATTTTCATATATTGCCCCATGTTTAGATATCGCTATTTCCGCCCGGATAGTTACGTAACACACATTACCACAAAGTATGTTTCACCCTCAAGTCATTCATCCACTTCGAACATTCTTTGTTTGCAGCTCGCGTCATCGACTAAAGATCACGAAAGTTAAAGCCAGTGGAACCATCAGCATCATTGTTCAGCGAAATGCAGTGAGGCGAACTTCACTGATCGCTGCCAAACTCGTAATGCATACAGGGTTACTGGTAAAATTTAAGGTGGACAGGCATTGAACCTATTTTAAAGGAGGGGGAAGTAGGTGAACGTCTATTGTCAACATAGAGTACGCAATCGAACTCTGCATACATACCGCTTCAAGCATTCTGACCTGATAAGAAACGACAACAAGAACGCCACTACTGTCGATTTGCTGCCATATCCTTCAATGTCTCCAACCAACCAGTT